GGTTAAGGTTTGGCTAAAAGATGTTACCGCAAAAAATAGTTGATTCGTGTGCGAATTTCAGCCACAATTTTAAAGGCCTGTTAAAATTGGAGAAAAATTGTTAAAATATTAAAATGGGAGAACCATTATTACAAAATAATTTCAATAGTGCTGCTTGTGGATTTATAATTTTGAGGTTTACATCCACTAAAACATTTTTTTTGCTTTTATTAGCATGCAGCGGAATTAATACGTGGGACTGTCAGTCAGCAAACGCATGTCATTAGCGTTACTTTAACAAATGGAAGCCATTCAGTGAAACATTTCGAAGTCTTTAAAAAGTGAAGCTCAATATTTATAATCGTGCCGTGTCGGTACGATTATAAATATTGAGCTTCTTAGAATAAATAAAAAACCTCTTTGAAAATCAAAAAGTTCGTTCTAACATTTACAGTTTGTAAATTAGAATAGAATAATACTGATATCGCTTGCAAATTATTTATTACAGGTAACCTTGGAGTGAATGGGCTGAAATTATTTGCATCAAGTACTTTTACAATATAACATGGTATTGATAAATTGCAAAAGACAAATTAATGACGAAACTTATGATGTATCGTAAAAAATGAAAAAACTAAAAAAATTGGATAAGAGAAGAGAGCCGCGGAAATTTTGAGATGAAGGATCAAGTGCGAATGGAAGTGGTTAATGTTCAGGGCACGTTTCAATCTGTTGATTAGTGCGTGGAGATGAATCTGCGTGATTGTTGGGAGGGCGTTCTCGATGGAATGACCGTCGGAATTGAAGGGAAAGATGAAGATGGATGCTCCGTCCTGCATACTAATTATTCATCTATTCTTTTTCCAAATGTTTTGTTTCCAATCAGTTTTTAACCGTTAATTTTTTCATTTCAATTTTTTAATTGATTATTATTACGGCGCCAAGAATTTTAAATATGATACATTTGTTTCACGAAAGTGCACGGCAACTAAATGTGATCTCTTTTAAACTGATTTTTTTGGTGAAAATAGTTCACTAATTTGACTTTGAACAGGAAACATACTGGCGTACAAGCACAAAAACAATACACAGAGGTACAGACATTACAATCAGTACATTCTGCTACTCACGTACAAACATTTTATATAAACCTGTGAACATGCAATCAGGTAGGTCTATATACACATCCATAGAAATATATCACATACAAACACCACATACAAACACACACATTCAAACCCACATGCAAACTTCAGGTACAAACGTCACGTACACAAACACCACATACAAACATCACAACACAAGCGTCACATACATAACCACAAACACCACATACACAAACATCGCATACAAACCCACACATACAAATCCACACACACACAATCACCACATACACAAACATCACATACAAACACTACATACACAAACACCACTTACAAACCCACACATAAAAACCCACACGCACGGATACGGTGCAGACCACCGTTAATCGCATAAGCTGCCATGGCGAGGGAAAACAAATAAAGTCAGCCGCATTTTATTTGAGCATACTCATATCAAAGTTATATATATAAATATAATATATATAAATATATAGCATATATATATATATATATAGTATATATATATATATATATATATATATATATATATTGTATTAGTATATATAGCATGTGCCAAAATATCCATGTTTTTTATGTAATGTTAAAAAATGTAATTCATGAGATAGAATTAATAAAAACTCCATGAAACATACAACAATTCGTAGCATATGTTCGCATAGAGAGGAGGAAGAATGGTCATAGGCGGATGCTGGCTGGCTGGTCTGCAGTGTGCACTGTCCGTAGCACACACACACGCACGCACACGCACGCACAAGCACGCACATGCGATGCGTGCGTACAAGGCTTATGTTTGCTCAATATAAACAATCGCATCATAATGCTAAAGCTTAAAAAGATGTTAACTTGAAGGTCTGTGCTGTGTGCCAACTATTCCATAGTTCTACGGCTCGACAAATAACTTAATGTTTGGTTTTTTGCCTTTGTTTCGTGATTCCACTTTCGGATTGAGTTGAATGAGAGATGGAAATTATGGTGCCGTGGGTATCTTTTTACGATTCAAATGTTGTTAATACAGGCAGGAGTTTTGTGTGTTAATCAACAGCATGGTTTTTTTAATTTAAAATTTATTTAAATACTTTCCTGTCAACATTTGCATGTTTATTATTTGAAATAAGAAATTTACGTTTTAAATCATGTACGATGTTTTAATATACAACACAGTAGACAAACAAAAGTTTATTCCATTGAGCCCTGTTACTAAAAGAACTGGCCACAAACCTCTGCAACTCTCGAGTTGTCAGCACCTCACAACGTCCGAACAGTATCGGAATGTTTCATTCAATTAGAATGAACGGAGGGAACTTAATTAAAGAATAAAGAGAAGTATGTGCAATGAGCGGGTGGCCTCAATTTGATGAATGAATGATGTCAGTCAGTTATGCATGTCCCCATCAATTCATCTAAACATCCTTTCTTGGCATGCATGCAGGCGCGCCGCATCTTTAAATGCATCGACATAATTCTTGCTAGCTTCCATGTGAACACACAACATCACAACACCACACCACACAGTTGAGCACAGCTCCACCCAGCACAGCATCACACAACTCAACAAAACACGTTACGACCACCTACAATTTAAACCCTGCATCACATTCCGCCACTCAGAAATAGTAAAAAGCATGTAAACAACAAAAGAGCACAAAACAGCCCCAAAGCATTTTTGCATAAAATGTCAAGAATAATTGTGTACAAAGCATAAAAATATGTCGTCATGTCGTACAATCTTGTACAGAACACGAGCGACTCATGAAAATTATCAAAAGATCGCTTTGCTCCACTATTTTCAATGGAATAATTTTAACTGTCTCATCCAAAATTGATTTCTTGTTGATGTTTTTAAATGAAGAACCGATAGATTCAGTGGGCAAGCAGTGGCGGATTGGATCCCCATCAAAGTTGTCTTGATCCGCCCCTAGAGGCAAGGTGTTAAAATGTGAGAAATCACTTCTGAAAGTTGATGTTTGTTAATCAAATATCTCAAAAATCAGTTGATGTATCCAAACAATGCACGTACATCTCCTCTCGTCCACAAGTTACTCATCCATTTAATTTGTTTTTTTTTTTTTTTAGATATTTTCTTCCTCTTTCATTTCCGTTTTCAACAATCCATCTGAATCGCATTGCATTTAATTCAACTTAATTATTTCCAGTTTTTATTTCATCTGTGTTTATAATTTTCAGTTTTCTTCTGATTGGAGTTTTATTTTTTATTCTTTTCCCTGCATCAATTTGGTCTCTTGATAGCTCTTGTTTTCTTCAATGTTTCTAATAAATAACTAATGTGAAAATCTAAAGTATACATAAATTGAAAAATATTTTCAAATGTTTATCAATATTTTTGGCATTTTGATAAAAAATGTTTAAATTACGTAATTAACAAGTTAAGTTTTTTCTGAATATTTGAAATGAAAATTTTATATTAGATAAAACTTTCCTGCCATTTAAGTACATAAAGTTGAGCATAATTAATGCAGCATAACATTTTTACAAAGTTAATTCATGAAAAATTTTAGATAAGCTTTAATATAAAAACATATATTTAATTGAACTAAGAATTTGGAATAAAAGTTTAATGGTTGAAAGACAAAAATGTCAAGTCCAATTTTGCAGTAGGATGGTTCACGTATAAAGTATCCTGCAGTATTTAGTACCCTGTATTAAAAACTTTGAACGCTAAAAACGACAAAATGATTATTACAACAGTAGATGAACTGTAATAAAAAAAATAATTCGTATGGTAAGGTAATTGCAATACAAGTAAATATTGAAATTGTAAAAAAAGATTTTCTAATTCAAATCAACTTAAAAGTTCCAAAAAGTAAAAAACAATTAGTAAAAAACTTTGGTGTTCCATCGATAAAATAAATGCTACTCTAGACCACAATTGGAAAGTATTACAGCATCTTAAATAAAGGTAATTATATTGCATTGTATTTTGTTTATTTCGTTAAGTTATAAAAAATGTTTCATAACAAATAGAAATGTTGTACAGTTATAGAGAATCGCAGAAATCCACACGTACGTATTTATTGCACATTCCATAATTGTACACACGTGAGCGTAAATAACGCCTTCTTGCTGCTGGCGTTTTTGGAAATGGCGGGTGTAATTTCACACGAGCATTTCATCTCGCCTGATTGTCTCGGCACATATTTGCGTTTGGCAGAACTGTATAATGTAAAATTTATCTATTTATCCTATTTCTTTTCTATGGTTTATTTAAATGTTAAAAATATATTTATTGAAAGTTCTTGAATTATTAACGGAACGTGAAGACGTGTTTGATCTTGCTGACAATCACGTGGTGAAGGCATTTTGGAATAGTATCAATCCGCAATGTGTTGGCAGAAGCATTTTTGCTATCCATTTTCACAACCCATTAATTCATCAAAGTTATGTTTAGTAGATCTTTGATCATCCTAACCTTAACTTCTCTTACTTAAGATCAGAGTCAGTCTCTGGAATAAAGTATCCTTCGTATAATATGTTAGGCGAGTTCAAAAAAATTCAGTGATTTATAAACATTTAAGAATATTGACTGTTATTTCAAATTCAGCATTAATTTGAGGATTTGAATAGGACATTTTTTTTATAAATGGCAGTGGTGGATTTTTGAAACTGCTCATTTAAAAACCTTAGTTATTTCTCTGAGCAGCCGTAGAATCTTGCAGTGATAAAAAAATTTGCGAAAATGTCATGTTCTGCAGGCTTGTGACTTGAAATCTCTGCTGCAGTATTATGTCCCAGAAGAATACTATGAAACTCATTTCCAACGTGTTCGATTTGTGGAGAAGTTTTCTTCTGAGTTATGGCTTCCTACTGCATGTCTTCAAACACATCAATCAATGGCTCTTCCAATTGTTAATATTATCTCAGAGGAACCTCACGTGATACAACTCGGGTGCTCCATTGAGTATCTGGCATCGAATTCAATGTGAGTTTCTAAACAGAAAAAATGAAGTGGAAGTAAACATACTTAACTTGATATGTTAATTCATAATAAGATTATAATTGATCGACTCACAACGAATAATTATAGACCGTAACATAAAATTTAAAACTGTTTAAATGTTAGTTTTACATGTTAAACAAGTCATAAGATCCTCAAGTTAGTGGGTTTTCAGAAATTATAAATAAACCATAAAACAGCCATGATATTTTTATTTATTTTTTTTTAAATTTTACCTTTATGAACTATTTGATTATGAAGGTTTTTCAGGCACACCAGGTTTGTATGCATTTTTTATGACACAACTTTAACTATTCTGACTTTTCAAAAAAAATGTTGGATTATAAAATAAAAAAATTTTAAAACAAAAAAAATAACAATGAATTTAGACTAATAAATGCTATTGAACCACATGCCAAATTTGTCATTAATCATTTCAAATCAAATTGAGAAATATGATTTTGACGGCAATAAATTCTACTTGGGAGAGGATTGATTATTTTTTGACAGAGTGGCTTCTCATACTTTTCAACCAAGATTGACAGTGAACTCATTTTATGAACACGGTATTACAAATGCAGCCCTCAGACACGTCAATTTATTTATTTCAACACTCGCATAGGAAATTTTTTTTTAAATAATTTAAATATGAATTATTAATTAAAACCTTGATATTTTTGCAATACGATCAAAAAAGTTTGAGATGAAAAAATTTCATTCAACAGAATAAAAAATTGAAATGAATATATGTGTAACGTTTATTTTGAATTTGAAAAAATGAAATGTGTTTATTAGTGCAGGTGTACTGTACATATGCATGCCTAACTCCACCAAACATATTAAAGTTACACCCAACTATGATTCCGGTCACTTGATCCAAACTGCATTTGGGATTATTACATACAACAACGCACATCCTTCATACCTGATATCTATAAAAGTAATCCCAAAAATCGCAAATTTTCCGATCCATATCAAACGTAGAGTCTGGATCAAGTGGCCGAGATTAACTTGCAAAAAAGTTACGTTCCCGGGACTTGGGCTGCATTTTGCACCTCAATTTAATTTTTCTTTATAAATCAATTTTAACAAATTAAATTTTTGTTAAAATATGGTTAATATACTTTTCAACTAAAAAACATGTATCAAGGATTTTATGTGAAACAACTCACAAAACGTGGTTACGGTGGTACGGAGAGACACTTGCAGACTCAATTGTAAGTATGGTTTTAATTCTAGCATCAATAATAATGATATGTCCCATGTGCAAATGTTGTTCAATGTTTTTCAAATTATATATTTAAATAGGACAAACACTGTTTATAAAGTATTTTTGCGGTCCTAGAGCCCAATGTCACACAAGTTTTGTATTTAGCTGTCAGGCTCGAGCGGGCTCAGTTGACAACGCTCCCTTGTCATCTTTACTTTGCTTAGTCTTTCACTTCCTCTTTTTGCAATATCCAGCTCTAGAAACTGGTTCTAAAAATTTATGATTGGTTTTCTAAACCGAATAGAATTGTTCAAAAGTTTCCCAATTAGTAACTTGGCAAAACATTTCCCGAGATTCGCGATGAATTGGCCAAATGTAAAGCTTTAGATGACATCGTCCGTCTGCATTCTGCACCCCAAGTTCTCATTGAGGGTTAACTATTGCGTAATAAGGAGTGAGTGTTTTGGCAGTGTTTGAAAATTTGTATGAATTATGAACAGAAAAGATATTAAATATGCATTGTCGCATGTTTGCAACAATGATTATCGTTTAACTTCTTTAATGAACTATAGTTCAATCAAGAAAAAAGCCTTAAAATTAGTTTGTTGGCATGTTCATTTTTAACCATGTAATTTTTTTCTCAACACTAAAATTTGTAAACGAACAAAATATTTTTTGAGTGACTGTTTTCTACAATTGAATCGTATGAATAACATCTCAAGCAGTTCGCTTTGGAACCTTTTTTATTGGTAGGACAGTTGATCTTGCAGGTTTTGAAGTAAATTTCTGCTCTTATCGTGAAAAATCCTAATTGAATCAACTATGAATTATTTATGAATACTTCATTCAATTTTATAATTTTATAATTATTTTTTGTTATTATTCATTGTTTTTCCGATGTTCTTTTGTACTTATGATTTTTTAACAACATTTTTTTCTTCCAATTTTGAAGTGCAAAAGAAATTAGATCTTCCAGTAGAACATTGCCTCGGACGTAATTAACATCAAGCCTTTATGCCACACATATATTGTAGAGACATCTGAACAAACAGACAAACAAACAAACAAACAAACAAACAAACAGACAAACAAACAAACATCTGTTGTGGCTGGTTGTGCGTGTAAACAAAAATTGAAAGATGTAGAGTGTGGAGGGAGGTATGTGCTGCTTGTTCATTATTTTTGTCTGGGTGATTTGTAACGAATGGACCTTAGATTGGCTGATAATATCGTAATTATAATACCATATCACCTTGATTTAAACATGAGAACAAAAAGATTGATAAGGTCATTAACAGAAAGATATGGGAAGTTCATTTTTAGAATTTGTTGCAGAGCGGATAGGTTGATAGATAACGTTCTTTGATGAGGACATTTATTCATCCGAATTATAAAGTTGAGTTTATAAATTTGAATGAGACTCAATAAATACATCACCGATACAACCGTTGTAAACTATTGAAATAGTTAATTGCACACGAGCAAGCAAGCATGCGCCATGCACAATTTCATTCATAGACACGAAATTTATAAATATTTTTAAATAATTTATTTTTTCAGTTTCGAATATTGTTGTTCACTTTCATTATATCCAATAAATATGCACGGCGACACTGCAAAAACTGAAACACGCACAAAATTCCGCACAAACTGACGCATATATCACACATCCACACGCCAGGACACACAAAAAAAGCCAACACATACACATACCACACACATTGGGTGACGCAAGTATTACACACACACACACACACACACACACACACACACACACACACACACACACACACACACACACACCGTTATACACATGTGCATAGAGCCACCTCTCGAACACATGAAGTGCAGAGAGTGGAAGAGAATAGGACGTTGAAAATAATAAATATTGGAAGGAAAAGAAAAATGAGACGTGGCGAGCGTGAAGAGACAGGATGAAAAATTGTCAAATGAAAAATTCTGCGAGAAACAAAACGAGGAAATTGCAACATTGTTGATATTTCATAATAACTTGAAAGAGCACGTCATCAGCGTTGGCAAGGAGGAAGATGGAGGTGGCGGTTTTGAAATGACGTCATGTATCTTATCTTATCGTATTGTTTCGTATAGTTTCGTATCGTATCGTATCGTAAAGTATCTCTCAGTCACATTTAATTCCGTTTTAAACCGCTATGTTTGTTTTGTTTTTGAGTTTACTTCAATTTTCGTTGTTTTTCTTTATATCAATCAAACATTTAAAATATTTGTTCGAATAAATATTTTAAAAAATGACCAAACAACGAATTGTCGACCACTTTAGAATAAATTCATCTGAAAATGAAAATTTTATCTGATTCAAATAACCTTCGTGTTGAGAATTTATTTATTTTTAATATTTTTAGTGTTGTTTCTTAATAAAGTTGTTTACACGGGCGATGATCTGCCATGAGAATATTGTTTATATTTCCACATTGCTTGCACACATCTTGAGCAACAACTACTTGGCGTACTACAGAAACACACACACACACACCCACACACACACACTCCTGTTTTTCATATATCTAGCTTACACGTGTGCACTTGTACGTGCTTAAGTAAACTCCAGTGTACACATCATTAATACGGAAACGTGTGTGTGTGTGCGTGTAAGAAAGTGTATGCTAGCGTGCAGATGGGCATGAAGGCTGTGTAAGCAAAACATTCCGATGTTTGCCCGGACGTCAGTGTATATTAATTTATTTGATATGCCCGCGCCTGACCATTGTTTTAATGTTGCCAGAAATTTTTTCCAAGAGAATATTCTTCTGAAATTCCTATCGTGATATTAATGTCTTGCATTCTTAAGTTCCTATATTATTTGATGTTTGAAGAATTGATATGCAGCCTCGAGTAATGTGAAAATTCTTCTACTTCAAAGTCATTTATACTTTAACAAATTGTCCTAGATATCATTATTTGTATAAAATGTTTTTTTATCAAAACGTCAAACCATTTTAATGAGTTTACATCAAAAAGCAGCATGTCACGTTGAAGTGCGTGCCCTCACATCACATCACACCATGTGCACGATGAACAGCCACAGCACGAAATAGCACGTATGACAGTAAGCCAGATTTGAGCAAAATCATTTCATTATTCGTCACGTTCAGCACATAGCATAGCATCACATTGTATCTCATGTCATCACATTGTATCACATTGCATTGTATTGCATCTTATGACATCAGGTGACATTTCCTCCCTTTATACATTTTGAACTTTTTTTTCATCACAACAAATAACACCACATCTCAAAACATTACGTCACTTCACAACGCATCAGATCAAGGTCACACACAACATCACTTCCAAGTAACAGAACTCATCCTACCCCACAATGGCACAACAAATTTAATTACATCTTGCATCATCTTCATCGTAAGCACGAATTACATGAAATGATCTCAGGGTCTTGATGCAAATGATAAAAAAATTTCACTCTAGTCTTCTACAAACTTGTGACTCGATTATACTTCATAATTATAAGTTCATACACTGTTGAAAAAATCATGAAAATTATTATTGGATAGGCAACAATTTTTTATTTAATTACCAGAGATTCTTGACTCCAAACATTACAAGTACAGCCCGTGAATGATGGGATTCGCTTGCGTTCAAACTCAGTCACTGCAGCAACAGGTCCAGGCTCTTTAACCACTACACTATCTCGCCAAAATATATTATGCTTGAGAGACACCGAATGTTTGGCTTGGCAGAACAACCAAAGTCGATTATTGTTAGTGGAAAATTTATTCTGA